ACCATCTCTCATCACAACCACCTGACAGGATAGAAACGCTTGTTCACACATGCCTGCCATTTCCCAGGTGGTACGGTGGCAGGATATACCCGTTCATGTCCCTGTTGTGTCCCAGTACACTGCCTCACCTGTTTGAAAGCTTGGGTGTCACAGCTCCATACCTTGGTGGCATAGGCACACCCGTTCGCACTTGTGCCTAGTTCCAGTGATGTTCTCTAGGGGAGCGGCACACCTTTCCACACACTTCGTATGTCCCATAGCCCACATGGCTGTGTAGACTTGAAGTTCCTGCACCTGCCATGTCCTGCAAAGCCATCTGGCAGCATGAAAACTGGTGTTTGTGCCTGCTGTGTCTCCACCTGGTGGCACACAGCGTGCTTGTCATGTCAGTGTCACCAAATGGTCAGATGGCCATGTCTGTTAACCTATCTGCTATGTTCATATACATAAAGGTGAAGGCATGCATGTCTGAGTACCTGATTATGTCTCAGCACCACACACCATGTTACAGCATGTGTGTTCATATACCTGTTATGTCCCAGCACTACTGTGATGGCATGGGCACCTATTTATGTGCCTGCCACATATGTGTGACATATGGTGAGATGGTCTCATTCTTGCTATGTACCAGCCCCATGGCATGGCCTTTTCACTTACCTGCCATGGACAGTGTTGCCACGTGATGGCACAGATAGACTGTGTGACTGATATAACCCAGAGGGGCTACCTGGTGACATGCATGTGACTTTCCCCCCTGCACTTGCCACAGCCCAGCCTCGCCACTATGCAACAGACACACCTTTGTGCACTTGTGCTGTTGTTGGGCAGAGCAATCGCCTTTCCTATTGTAAAAGATACCATGATACCAACTTATGAAAGAAAGGATCTAACTGGGGACTTGCTCAGTTTCAGAAGGTGAGTCCATGAGCGTCGAAGTGGAGAGCATGCTGTTGGCGGGCAGGCATGTGCTGGAGCAGCAGCGGAGAACTTGTAACTGACCCACAAGCAGGAGGCAGAGGCTGGCCTGGCAGTGGCTTTTGAAAGCCCACCCAGTGATATACCTCCTCCAATAAGGCCACACCTCATAATCCTTCCCAAACAGTCCACCGACTGGGGAGGAAGCATTCAGATATAGGAGCCTGTGGGGACCATTCTCACTCAAGCATCCCACCAAGGAAGGGGAAGGACAAACTTCTCGGGATAAAAGGAACAAATGGCATCACGTCATGAGCACTGAAGCTTTCCCAATTAGCCTGCTTTCCCGAATCATCCAGAAAACTAACTTATGTATCCTATCTAAGCATGCTTTAATAATTCGGGTCCCCCAAACACTCCACGCCAGTTACTGCAGCTTTTCTAATACCTTCTATTCTCTGGGTAGCTAAAGAGTTTACTGTCCTGGGCTTGTTTTTCTTCTACATTCTAATAAAATTGTCCTCGAGCATACTATCGAGCCAATTCTTAAATTCTTTTATTGATGAAACCACCAAAGTGTTTTAAACTTGTCATAATTTATGACTTTGTTCTGCAAAACTATAAACTCATGAAGCATAAAAAGGCATCCGGGTTGAAACACAGACTGAGGTAACCTAAACCTGTGTTGGTGGGCCATGGTCACTAAAAACATGATTCCATTGTAAACTACCTCTTACTCCCTTATGTATTTTATACTGGGCATAGTGGTAGATGCCTTTAATGCCAGCACTTGGGAGGCAGAGACAGGAGGATCTCTGTGAATTTGAAGCCAGCCTGGTCTACATAGTTAAGCTCCAGGACAGCCCTACATAGTGAGACCCTGTCTCAAATAAATAAACCAACAAATATTTATTAAAATGTATTTTATTAATGAAACTAAAAACTTCAAGAGGAAATTCCAATTCCTCCTGGATCAGTATAATCAAATGAGGTAAATAGACAAAAAAGACATTGAAATTTTCATATATTAGCACTTAAGAAACTACACACAATAATTTTCTTTGGTGTAATAAAGAAATCAAAGGTAATGATTGGTATTGATTCAAATAAGGTATGTACTAGTAACCTTATAATCTTTTAGATATAACTGAAGTAATGTAATCCTTTCTTTTTCCTGGTGTAATTTCCATTTCAAAACCCCACATGATTCCCAGTTAGCTGGTTCTGCTTCGTATTTCTGGATCAGATGCAAGCAAGCATTCTGCTACTGCTCCAGCAACATGCCTGCTGCCAGGCTCCCCCAACATAAGGTTCCCAGACACCCTCTCAAACTGTTAAGCTCCAATGAACACTGCCTTAACATCCTTAGTCAGGGGTATTCACAGCAACCAAAAAGTAGACATACACATATAGGTGTCGGTATATATAGATATAACCTGCAGAGTCCATTTAGTGCTGCTCAGATTATATGTTAAGCATTGACCACTGGATTGGGTTATTAGGGTCAACCCTAAATATATATAAACACACAAACCCAAAAGAGGCTTTTCCCTGGATAAGACTGATTCCTAGTAGCTTTTCTTTCAGAGATGGCGCCTTGTAAGAATTCCTCATCCTATTTTGGCATGTTAACTGGTGGTGTCATTGTGCAGGTCTTGTTCAGGAGGTCATATTGTTAAGATTTGATGGGTGCAACTCCCTATCATATATAGAAAACTGCATCTCATGGCCTACATTGTGGTCTCAAGACTCTAAAGAGCTAATGGTAGCCATAAAAGAAATGCATTAAATGTACAATCCTATATAGCAAAAACAATGAACACCACAAAAACCTTATACATCTTTAATCAGACAACCATGGTTGCAATTAAGTGACTGTCTCCATCCAGTACATTCATATACTCTGTGTGTGTGTGTGTGTGTGTGTGTGTGTGTGTGTGTGTGTGTGTGTGTGTGTGTTGTTTTGGTACCTGACAGCCAGACAGCCAAAGTGCATTTATAAAGGACCTATGCATTTATAAAGGACTTATATGAACAGGAGTACAGTAACAACTGCTAGTGTTATTCTTAGGCTTTCTCTAACAAAACCTTCCTAGGACAACATTCTGCTTCACTGTGTGTCTGAGCTAGGCACCTTGATGTGAAATACAAGACGCATACAATTAGGGTTTTTTTTTTTTGATAAAATATAGTTTGACAAAACAAATATTAGTTTTCTAGAAAATGCTAATGGATGGCTAATGTTAACCAAAGTTATCAATTCTTCATGTTCTTCTCTAGAAAACTGTTACATGTAAATATTTGTGTGTGTGACTGGGGAGATGGTTCAGCAGTTACATATGTATGTGTAATTACAATATTTACATGTAACTATATATGTACTGTTTAACAGAGAACAGCATTTCTAGCTTGATGTTTTAAATGTCAACTATGCATCTTTATTTTTTTGTAGCAATAAAACTCGAGACAAACGTTAGGTTTCCTACTAGCATTCCTCACAATTTACAACTTGAATGATGGACTATCTGTATGAATATCTGCAATTAAGTTACAGAAGTCATATGAACAACAAAAATCTGATGTCTGATCCTTTGCAAATGTGAAGCTACCTTTACTTGGTTTTTCAAGTAGTCAAATATAAATGGGGTGAGACCATATACACTTGAGATGAGGCACTTCAATGATGGCCCCAAAAGAGTGACTATAAATTAAAACTCTTGATGTTGATCTTATTCTTCATTTCAGGTGTAATTAACTTCAGATAGTTTGCATTACAAGTATTATAAACTTTTATTTGTTGTCTTCCTTTTATTCTAAGTCAACAAAACTGTGAAATACATAAAATACAGACATCACCACAGACCAGTTACTGTGCTCACATACAAATGAACTGAACATTACCTAATGACACAAATTTCAGAAGAGGCCTATTTCAACAACAAAACTTCCATACTTTCTTCATAACCATGTATAAGTACATTATTGTCGAAAGGGCAAATCTCAGCACTATTTCTAGATAAGAATGTCCTCCAATGTATTAACTGAATTATAAGCTATAGTCTTATATGTACTTTTTAAAATACTGAATTAAAAAATAAATTTATAGGGCTGGAGCAGCAGCCTGAGTTCAGTTTCCATCACCCACGTGGCAGTTCCCAAGCAGCCATCACTCCTATTGGGGTTCTGATGTTCCTCCAGTCTTGGTTGGGCATTACACATATATGAATATACAAACATGGAGGCCAAACACATTTTATACACATCAAATATTTACAACACTAAATTTACCAATATTTTAGTCTGATGTCCAATTCGAAGTGTTTTTAAAAAAGCACATAAGAACAAGTATTTTGTTTAGCCAGTCTTTTATAAAAGATCTTCAAATAGTTGGGACAGCTCATTTTCAATCTTAAATCATGTTCTCTATCTACACATTTAATGAATACTTGGTGAGTTTAGATAATAAATATTAGATTAGATAATAATTCCAATTTTCCATAAATTCACTGTATTATATTTTCCAACTGTCTGAATTCAGTATTAATACCATAATTATTAAAGAAAATAGCTGACTCTAATTTTTATGTTTATACAGAAAGTTAAAATGTTGACTTGAGACCAACGTTTGATGGTATATGCCTACGATCCCAGCATTTGGGAAGCAGGCCCTGAAGAATGTTAACTGTGAGGGTAGCCCATGCTGCACAGCTGTCTCCTAAAAACAAAATATTTGTAGATCTGTAACTAGACAGGTAAGATTCATGGCTGTTTATAATTTGAGTAAATTTATAAAGTCTAGACACTCCAATGTCTTGATAAAATACAAGTCAATACTTACTCAAACATGGTTAGCTATTCCGAATCTATATGCACCAAAACATTCCACGTGTGTAGATAGGCTTCAAATCCATGTATCAAAGCACTCTATCTGTGCAGACAGTACTCTTAATTCCTCTAACATTCTGTTTCTCTAGAGAAAGACTAGCTTTTAGCCAATGTGATTCCAGACACAGCTCTTCTAAACCAAAAAGTTAGCCAATATCAAACAAGAGAGAGAGAGAATGCACTTATATAGAATGACAAAATTTAAGCTTGGCAAAAGTAGTAACTTTTATTTACAACTGCATGTATCAAGATTACAATAGAAATACTAGTGATGCCATCTGAATAAAAGCAATGATTTATTGGTAATGGCAACAAATCAAAGATTAACAGTTTCCGAAGAGAATCAAGCAATTATCCAGGAGCTGCAAATCTGACTGCAGTAAGTCTTCCAGTGTCTTTTGTACCCTTAATGGCTTTCTCCTTTTTTGCCAACTACCTAGAAAAACAAAAATGCAATAAAAAAATATGTACAACTTAATGATTCCAAATTATTTTTACAAGAAAAATACCAACATGGTAATGATTTCAAATGACTTTAGTCCTTTTGTCCTGATATTAATTTTTAATCCTCGAACCTTTTCTGCATGCACTGTGCTTGTATTGTGGCAGCAAACTTTGACACCCCTCCCCCTAAACACAAGGAATTAAACACATGCAAGCTATTTTTGGTTTCCCATTCTGTTTTAAGTAATACAATTTTTCCAAACCAAGATGACAGTTTAGAGAAGTTAATAAAAAAGATGATGCTATAAGTAAAACATTCTTGTTGTACTAGTTTTAAGCAATTAGAAATCAAATGTCAATTACAAAATAATCTGTATTTAAAAGAATATATTAAATTCATGCCTTCATGTCCACTTGATGAGTTTCTTTCAACATGTAAACATGAAAACAGACTGAAAATGATGAATTCTTTCCAGCTTTTAAAAAAACCTTGTTGCTAGAAATTGTCTGTAAGAAATATAAAAAATAAATCTTGCATCTAAGTGATTAAAAACAAGAATCTATCCAGCAGTCCTGAAGGTCTGTAAAAATACCCTGGTTCCTATGTCATAGCACAAAAAAAAAAAAAAAAAAAGTAAAAAAAGAACCTGGTGTCTACCAATAAGTCACGAAAACAGGTTCTCTGTTGGTTCTGTGGCCAAGTAATTTATCTAAAGAACAGAGTTTATCATTAGTTAATAGATTTTTTACAGCATAAATGTCTCAAAAGAAAACCCTTTACAATATACATGTATGTTTGTATAGAACAAGATATACATACATGTATAAATCTAAGTTTCTTATTTTAAAGTGGTTTTACTCTTAATGGTAATTAAAGGTCATTAACAGATGTTGGTCTGTATTAGAAATAGCTGGGTCAGTGCCACTCATGAAAAAGTACTTAAAAACTTTCTACTGAGAATTATTAACCACAGAAAGCTAATATTTTTGAGGTTTTGTTGTAGTTTGTTTTTTTTTTTTTCACTCAATTCAGGGGAAATTTTTAAAGAAATTCCTCTTTGGTTCATGCAAACTATGGTAGAATAGCTCAGAAATCAAAGGGACAATAGCGTCAGAAAAGAGAAAAGTGAACAAGAGTAAGAAAAACGGGGCATTAAAAAATACATCAGAATGCAGGGGAGATGGTACCACCTGTACCACAAGTGAATTTTAGCTGATACACAAGGACAACATTATTGACCACTATATTACTTAGGAAATGCAAAACATACAGCTATTAGATTAAGCAAAAGAAAACAATATTAAAACAAAAATTTAGAAGATGTGATACAGCAGAAGATGCAAGTCTGCATACTGTTTCACAGGTTGATAACTCTCAACTTGCCAATATGTATTCTCTGTAAAAAAAGAAGAAATTCAACATTCCATGCTGATTCTTACCCCAAACGTAAAGCTCTTTCACTCTGTCTTAAGTCTTTATGTTACACATCAGATAAACCAAAGTCTAGGTACATCAAAATTAGATGTTAAAAAATTTCATTACGCAAAGAATCCATTGATCTTCTGTGTTACTGTTTTAACCCAGCCTGTTTAGTCCATATGTCCTTCAACTGGACAACCTAAGGAGTATGTAACACTAGCTCTAGTTTAAAAAAAGAATAATAACTTATACTTAAGTTTCCAAAAACAATTCTCCTGTTCCTAAAATATAAAACTTTAAAATGGATGAAAATATTACTTAAATAAACTTGAAAGCATTTTCAACAATTTAAGTTTGCTCCAAAATTATTTCTCAAAATATTGAACAAAATTAAATAGGAAAGAGCAGGTTAAAAAAAAAAACAAAAAACAAAAACAAAACTGCCTGTGAGTCACATAATATGGTAAGAAAATTAAGGCACTTAATTGCAAGCAAAATAAAGGTCTGACTGAGAGTCATGAGTGGGATGAAATCTGAAGGAAGAGTTGGTTGAGGCAATCTAGGTAACAAGAAGGCTGATCCAGATGCTGAAGCTGAAGAAATCTATCTCGCAGCGACAACTGAGGACATGGGGAGGGTGAGAGTAGGTAGGTGACAGATGAGCAATGAAGCAAGGCAGGGAGTACAATGAGACAAAGTCTATATTACTTCATTAAAAAAAAATCTTCCAGTTTTAGTTCATTGAGTTGTATTAAAAAAGCTGAAAAATAAACAAATAGAAATGTTATAAAAATAGCGTATGTGGTAAATGGCCAGTTTAGAAAAGCCTATTTTTATAAAAGTGATAAAAACATGGTGTACTTTCCACATGCACCTTGCTACCTAAGAAGCAAAAGCCCCAATTTTCTCACTTTTGCACACCTGATTTTAATAAAGCAATCTATGTAAAAAGCCTATTTTAGCAAAGAAAATACTTACTCTTAACTAAAATTGCAAGCTTTTCATGCTCTACCATGAAGAACACATTTACAGCAAATAGCCAAAATATACCTGACACCTTTGAGGGCCAAAACAGACAAATCAAGGATCTATTCTACTCTAGCAAATCTAAAAGGGAACTGAGAAAGCTGTTAGCAACATGCAAAGTCATCTAAAGTAGCTGTCAACAACCAAGATGTATCAATATTACCTTAGCTTCTGGAGGTCAGTGGCATGCTGAAAACTAAAATCATCTACAAATAACTCACACAACAGAAGAATATAACCTGAAAACACTTTCTACTTCATGATTCATTGAATCATTTTATGTAGCTCTCTCTTCCATTGAAGAAAAGTTACCAAGTCTTATCTTCACTGAATGAATATAGGATACACATCAAATATACTTTGAAAATTTAAAAATCTCAACATAGATGCTTTTAATATCAGATTAACAAAACTGTAAAAGATAGTTTTGAAGAAAAAATATCACTGGGTTGGCAATAAGAAAATACTTTATCTGTTATGTATATCCTGCCTTGCAAGAACACAATCCTGTTAAATTGGGACAATGACTTCCATTGCACGATAATATAGGAACAGGAAAGTCAAAGGCACTACTATTCCAAAGCTAGGATCCAAAACTCACTGACAGGTTTTCTGTTTGTTTGTTTTGAGAAAGGGTTTCTCTATGTAGCTTTGTAGACCAGGCTGGTCTCGAACTCACAGAGATCTGCCTGCCTCTGCCTCCCAACTGCTGGAATTAAAGGCTTGTACCATCACACCTGGCTTCACTGACAGTTTTTAATAAGGAACTCTGCAGAAGGACCAAATGGGCCAATCTCACATATATCCCCTATGTTTTTCTACATTGAAGTTATTGTTTCTTAAATATAAAAATAACCCTACAAGAAAATGAGTGACTGCAAGCAGAATAAATCTCACCCACAAACAATTACAAAAGCAATGTAATATTAAAATACGTAATATACCCAAGATTAGCATTCAACCAATTAAGATTTCAATTTTGAAATCAAAGGGTAAGAATCCCGTTTTTAAATTCTCCTTATAGCAGTTCTAACAGAATTGCTAGGAACCCTAAAGCTGTTCTTTGAGGAAATCTATGAATTCCAAACCATCTTCAGAATAACACTAGGCATTTATTTACTTTTAAAATTATCTTTCTCTTACAAATATACATTTTGTTATCAAATAGAAACATGGTATATGCTAACAGAAACAGATATTAGGTTAGTGAAGAAATCCATAAAAATATAAAGCAGTGTTTCTCTTCTTATTAAAATGTTTTTTTGGCCAGGCAGTGGTGGTGTACACCTTTAATCCCAGCACTCAGGAGGCAGAGGCAGGCGGATCTCTGTGAGCTTGAGACCAGCCTGGTCTACAGAGCTAGTTCCAGGACAGCCTCCAAAACCACAGAGAAACCCTGTCTCAAAAAACTAGACAGACAGACAGACAAGTAAATAAAATAAAGTGTTTTTTTCTATTTAAAAAGGTGGGTGTTTACGAGTTTTTAAATTTTATTTTATGTGTACAAGCATTTTGCCTGTATGTATACATGCGGATGATGTGTGTGTGCCTGGTGCCTGCAGAAATCACAAGATGATGTCTGAAGTCCTGGAACTTGAGTTTGAGACAGGTAAGCCACCAAATAGAACAGATCTTCTGTGAGAGCAACAAGTGTTCTTAACCACTAAACGATCTTTCCAAGCCCTGGAAAATGTGTATTTCATTAGAAATATCACTGTCCATTTATAATGAGTTTATTAATTATAGTCTTTTTGTTTAATTCCCAGTTAGCTTGTTAAGGCCCCCACACTTGTAGCAATCACCCAATCTCAACCAAATTGGTAGGTAAGTAGATGGACCTAGAAAGATCCTATTGAATGAGGTAACCAGATCTAGTAAGACAAATGCCATGCTGCATGTTCTCTCTCATCTGTGGTTCCTACACCAAATCTTCAGATGTGAATATACAACATGGAGTATCACCAAAACAAGTATAAAGAGACCATGTGGTGGGCCTGAGAGGAGAACAGCAGGACACAGGTGATAGAAAGTTAAGCTACCTACACTAACAATGTTCTCCACAAGAACCACAGACTAACAAAAACCTCAGTACCAGACACAAGAAACCTTTGAAGGCTTGGTCAGTAATTGTCCAAGTAACTCCCAAAACAATATACATTACCAATGTAGCTCTCAGTTACCTCTCAGGGGTTGAAGATCAGATGCTAAACTTAAAAACCACACCTTGAGGATACATGACTCAAATGACTTGAACTGAATCTGACCTGAAAGTCTCTCCCTGTGACCTACCACGAAAACTATCAAAGTACACAATCATCCCCATCTAGCTGCAACACCTCTGAACCACAAGTAACACATGGCAATCACATGTTGGTGGCAACTAGCAACTGTCTAAATGAAACCCTGTCAGCTTCTCAGGGCTAGTAAGGTAATAGATCTTAGAAAACAATCTAATCTATTACTTACACTTTGCTAGACCAGCATTCTCCTTACCATATTTAAATCTTGTCCTTATCTCCACAGATAAGTATGGCTAACCTCATCAAAACTTTTCCTTACAGAAAATGGAAACCATCACAGAAAAATTCACCTGAACACAATGCAAAGATCAATGGATCATGGGGAGCCTCCTCCAGTGGATATACCTACATCACAGCTCCTGCATCTCTGGCTGAGGAAACATTGTGGAAGAGGGGGAAGAAAGATTCTAAAGACAGTATCAGAAGCCTGCTGTGGAACAGTCTCCTAGAAATGGCTGTATAAACAAGACAAGAACAATGGCAAAATCAATGGTCCTTTTAATGCCGAAGGAAAAAAATTCGGCATTATCCAGCTCATAGACTTAGAACTACAGGGAACTATTGATTTCTGGGAGAAGAAAACTTGGCCTCTCCCAGAGATGAGTCCTCTTTATTGGCTGACCTGTGCTGAGTGGACAGGTTTTAAAACCAAATACACACAAAGAACAAAAATGGACTCGGCATTTGTACAAAACATACAACACAATATATATGAGTATGTAATAAATATAATAAGAAGCTATCAACTTGAGTTGAGGGTGTCTAGGTGAAGCCTCAGGGAGGGTTTCTTGTCAATGGATTTCAAAATAGGAGGGACCTGAGGGAGTCAAGGAGGAAAGTGATATAATTCTATTTTACTAAAAATATTAAAAACTACTGTTGCTAATATAAAATGGGTTTATTAACTGTAATTTAAATATTTTTCAATTTAACTTTTTTCTGAATTCTCACTTTGAAACCTAGGAAGGCATCACACTTGATAGCAGTCATACTACCTGAACTTTCCAAGTGCTGAAATTACTAACGCGAGCCATTACACCTGGATTCCCAGGTTAATTTCTGTTAAATAAAGATGTTAATAAAAACTCTTCTGGATGCTCAAACATCTTTCATATTTTAAATAATACCTGAGCCTGAAAAGTTTAAGAACTGCCATTTTTCATGACTTAAATAAAGTGAAAAAGTAAACAAATGATCTAGAACAAGCAAGTGCACCCCCTGGAAGCAGCTTTGGCAGTCAATGAGAACAGACCAAGCAGCCAGACAAATGTGAGATAAATAATTAAGACAGTTATTAAGGTAAATCGGAAAAATTAGAACTGAATAGCTGACTGATAAAAATGCAGAAGAGAATGTTACTCCCATTAAAAACAGAAGTTGAGTAGCATAAACTGAAGTAATACTAGGATATTGAAGCAAAACTTAATGATAGGAAAATATTAACTTGATTTCCAGCAAAAAAAAAAAAAAAGATAATTAAGCTGCTCAACGAACAGTTAAAACAGTTAAGACCAATGCCAATGGCATTTAATACAAGCCAGAAAAGCAGACAACCAAACCATCTCTGTTGCCCACACATTTTCCCTGGAAAATACATCCTATAGGGTAAGAAAGAAGCTGCTTGATACCTGTTTCTTCTGACCAAGCATTACACACATACTAAGCATCTGGGCATGGCAAAGCTAAGTATATAATCCTAACTCCACAAACTTAATTATGCTATGAGATAGTCAAAGTGACTGAGAAGTAACCAGCAAAAATATGCAGGCCTTCCTTTTTTTTTTTTAAGGTAATATGTATCTCATAGGACATCCACCATTAAAGAATTTATTTTCTGTAGTTAAATCAGGTCTGCAGATATCACCAAAAAGAGAAAGAGTTCTCAGGCTGTTCTAATTCCTTACATAGAGTGTGCAGCCCTAAGAAAACACATTCCTGTTTATTAGCTCAAGTCCTAGACCACTGGCCAAGTGCAGCCATGAGGAGCACGGTGGCCAGTGTTTCCTCTGTGGCCACACGTTTTCTCATACACAGATGCAGATTCGGCAGTAAGACAGTTTTCAGTGGTACCTCCACGATCTGGGTTTGTGCATTTAGGAGCCACCCACACAATTGCTACTACTAAGAAGCTGCTGCAGAAAGCACAGGAAGAGGCTGACCCTTGCTCCTCAAAGTCCTGGGTACCCAGTAACCTCCATGGAAACCTTTAGAGTTGCATTCTTTACAAATACATATATTTTTAAAAATAGGAGAAAACTTGCACTATCACTTTAAATGTGCTGAAATGTGTCCTTTCCAGATATACAATGCTTGGAAAGTTGTAACAATGTCCATGTGTTAAAATCTATGTTTATTCTTTCATAATAAACTTATTCAAGTCATTGTAAAAAACATTTTCATTATTATAACCAAAGCCCTTAATTCCTAAGCCCTATTATTCCTAAGCATTTTTGTAATCAGACTATTATTTTTACTCAGATATCATTAATATTTATTCTATTAAGTTATATTTACTAAAGATTTCTTTTAGTTAAATATTTCAACATGCTGCATTCATTTAACATTCCATGAGACACAGTTTTCAATCTTTATGTTTGACAACTAAAATATAAGAAATTATTCCTTTGAAATTGTATTTACATTTTCCTTAGTTATCATTTGAACAAACTTACTCGTTTGAAGTCATTCATATTTGTTGCCTGGACTGGAGTACCAATAAAAGTAAAATATGAAATTCTTGTTGTTTCTTCTTCACCTTGATTAGACTGAACAAATAACTACAAAAAAATCACATTTATAATTCATAATTACAATCTATTTTTCATGAACATGCTTAAGATTTAATCTATTTGCTTTCTTAATAAAAATACCTTCCACCTTTGTAAGGATTAATATTTCATTACACTTACACTACTGTTCCTAAAAGACTGCCCATTCCTTGTCTGTACTAAAATTCTCAACTTCTCTAGAGAGGCCCTGTCAAGATGCCCACACATGCAAGCTCATGGTAATTTAGTGTGATGGTATGGAGAAGTCATAACTAAATCCTTTACAGAGAACACTGAAAGAGTGTGAAATTCATAATTACAACCGGTAGACTGCTGTTGATAATTTTATTAAAACCATAGTATTCCAACTGTGGAAAATCTCTGTAGTTGTATTCTTTCTAATACTTATGCACCTATTCTACTTCCTAGAATAGGAGAAGTGATACTGGAAATCTGTCCGTAAGGCTATGTTCTGACCCTGAAGTGTTTTAAGGCCTGACTATACTCCCTATCTTAAAATTTCCCTCCCTCAGTATATAAAGAATAGAAGCATTACTTATGTTGGATTTTCAAAAAAAAAATTCCTCCATTAAAAAATATGATAATCTAAAAATGTTCTCAATCCTCAACGATCAGCAAGCACAGGGCCTGCCTGAGTCTGCACTAGGTCCTCTGTATATGTATTATAGCTTAAGCTTTGTGATTTCATGGGTTATTAAGTGAAGGAGTGGGTCTGATTCATGTGCCTTCTCTTGGGTACTTTTCCTTCTGTTGGTTTGTCCTGTCCAACTTGGATGTGATGATTTTTGTTTTATCTTATTATAGTCTATTTTGCTATGTTTTGTTGTTATCTCTCAGGAGCCTGTTCTCTTCTAATGAGAGACAGAAAGAAAGTGGATTTGGGTGGGGGTGGGTAGGAAGGAACTGTGAGGAGCAGAAGGAGGGGGAAACTGTAAACAGGATGTACTGTATAAGGAAAAAAATATATTTTCAGACTGGAGAAATGACTCAGCAGTTAAGAGCACTGGCTGCTCTTCCAGAGAACCTGGGTTGAATTCCAAGTACCACATGGCAACTCACAACTGTATGTAACTCCAGTTCCAGGAGATCTGACACTTTTACGCCAATGCACATAAAGTTAAATAAAAATTATTTAAAAGAATACATATTTTTTTCAATAAAAGGAAAATTATTGTCTCTCTTCACTTAATGTATGTTGCTCCTTCTAAGACATTACTTAACAATCCAATTGCCTAAATTGTCTTCATAGGCAACCCTAGACTCCTTTAAAGGATTTTATCTAATCAATGTAACTGTAATAAATACAATATTAAATCAATTCCCAGCTTACTTACATTTGCCTTTTTAAATGTAAGCACTCCTGCTCATGCTGTTTATAATTTCAAATTTTAAAATTCATCTTTCATTGATTAAATCGATCAAAACTATTACTTTAATTCAATGTTCATCATCATAAAAGTGATAGGTACACATTATGTGTCTTTATTTACGCCACTAACTAAATGTCTGTATACTACGCACAGTGTCCTGAGTGATAATCAGCGTTCTATTATGTGATCTTTGTCCTCAGCTTCAATTTTTTTTTGTTTTTTTTGTTTTTTTTTTTTTTTGTTTTTCGAGACAGGGTTTCTCTGTGGCTTTGGAGGCTGTCCTGGAACTCACTTTGTAGTCCAGGCTGGCCTCGAGCTCACAGAGATCCGCCTGCCTTTGCCTCCCGAGTGCTGGGATTAAAGGCGTGCGCCACCAACGCCCGGCTCCTCAGCTTCATTTTACGGTCACAGAAACTGTCTATATCCATTGAAACCCTCCTATAAGAACTTGACAGTGTTCTCTGATTACCCATGATACAGAGGTATTTTATCTGTTTGACATGATGTTTAGTTGGAGCTCTGTGGTTGATTTCTTCTTTCTTTTCATAGATGTATCACTTAAAATCATTTCTGGCAGTATTTAATAGTCAGATAAATCTTAGCTATCTCTTAAAATGTAAAATCTTTTCAGAAAGTCATTTTTACTGGATATAGTGGCTCATGCCTACAAATTCCAGCACTTAGAAGGTTGAAAAAGAAGGACTGTTGTGAGTTCAAGGCCAGTGTTGGCAGTATAGTAAATCTTAGGCCAACCTAGGCTAGAGTAAGATTCTGTCTCAAAAAAAAAAAAAATTAAAAGTCAGCTTTAATAATTCCATATTAACTACACTGAAAGCTACTATCTAGAAAATTAAACAAGATTTACACAGGTACCAGCACTCATCACCAACTGAGATAGAATAATCATAAATATTTCCAGTTTAACTGTAAACATACTAGAACTGACAGATCCCATGAGTCATCCTCCATTCCTCAAATTTCGTGAACAAACTTTACTTTAAAAGACCATTTAGAATCACCTAGAATACAGAAGATAGCACTGCTGCCCACCGACCAGAGGAAGATACAGTAATGAGGTGCTACTCACAGTTACACTGTTAACATTCTGAAATTTAACGTAACGGAGAGGAACAATGCCATCTTCTTTAATGTCATCTTCTGTCAGTTCCAGGGCTTGAGTTGGCTCACTCCTCTCTGCCTCCTCAAAATCCATAGAGCGGGGTAGGTTGATAAAAATTTTTACGTACTTAGGACCCTGACCTATAAAATGTTTTAAAGAAAAAATTGAAGTGCTAAAAACTACAAACACACTATACTTTTCCCATATCATCATATATATCCTATACAGAAACCTATGTTGAGCCACATATATATTGGTACACATCAACATACACGTCTTCAGAAACATCTACTAAAATTTCTAAGAGTCTGAATATTGACAATCAATCTTTTGTCCTCCAATACTCATTTGCTGGTATCTTCTTAGCTATTTCACTCTATATTAGGAATATCTGCTAAATAGTAGGAATAAGAAAGCATACACACAAACACACGTGCACGCACGTGTACAAAATCAAGTTCTGCTCTGAATGCCAAAAGACATACTATGAGCTGGATGCAGTGGGGCACACCTTTAATCCCTGCACTTGGGAAGCATTGGCAGGCAGATGTACATAGCAAGCTCTGGGCCAGCTAAGGCGACATGGTGAGATTCTGTATTAAAATAAATAAAGCTACACTATAATAAATATAACACTACCAGTGAGGAGCTATATGGAAGATGCCAATGGATTTGGATAGTATATGCGGGTGAACAACTTTTCATAAGAAGTCTATGGTTGCCAACAGCTGGTACATTTTGTTACCCATGAGGAACATCATAAGCATCAACACTTATCCAAAAAGGAATTAATCATAAAATTAGCATATTTTACTTTTCTTAGGTATTAGATAAGAAATATGCCGACAGTCACACCATTTAACTCCTTCACTGACAGTAGGCCATTTAAAACTTATATATGTAGCTGATTAAACAATACTAATTTCTATAGAATTTACTTATACAGTACTTCATAAAATTTTATTATTGAAAGGTGATTAACATATGAAAGTATATAAATACATTATTAAACAAAGCCTTGGCCAGATATGGTAGCACATGCCTTTAATCCTAGCACTCAGGAGGCTAAGTAGGTGGATCTCATGTGATCCTGGTCTACATAAGAGTTTTAGGATAGCAAGGGCTCAAAAACAAAACAAAACCAAAAAACAAAGGCTTGGTTGTTTCTGTCAATCAGTTAAAAAAGAAAACCAAGCCTTTTCCCCTCATTATTTCTGATTCTAAAAAATGACTGCTAAGAATATGGAAATGGGAGGAAGGAATCAGTATTCTATAAACTAAGGGGAAACAAATATTTTAATTTTTATTCTTAATTCTACATTACTTGGTCACTTACAATCTTTAATCAACAACACATGGATGAGCTACCTATCTATATTTAATAAAACAGTTTTAAATGTAAGCTAACGGGCTAACAAAGTCTGTTCTTAATTAACTGTTCTTTACTCACCATTATCTGGTCCTTGAAATTTCATGGAATAAAGCTTAACAGGTTGATTGAATGCCACAGTAATAAGTAGCTGTGAGGGAAATAGTTTAATTATAAAGGGATTTGTCAACACCAAGAAAACACACACACACACACGCACACACACACACAGGCTAAGGAGAGCTAAGATAAAGGTAGCATAAACCTAGTTCACTTAAAAAAACCATTGCAATAAAGATTCTGTAAGTTGAAGTTAAATTCATTAGTTTGACAATTAAGAACAGCGACCATCAATTACTTATGTAAAGAATGCCCTCACATGAACAGTGATCTAAAATTCACAAAGTAGGACTCTTTGGGACCAGGAATGTGGCTCAGTATGTCCAATGCTCTGAGTGATGGGAGCGAAGAAAGGCACTAAGATAAAAGACCTCCAAAAACTTAATCCTAAATTTCTCTAAAAGGCCACATAAGGGAACTAAGTCACCAAATACTGTCTGGATTCTCCCAGAAGCTCTAAGTTATCCATAAAGTTTCTTTCCATCCAAAATGGTGTTTAGTGCTCATAACTATACTCCTACTCTGTAAGAAAGACTTCTCCTAATGCAAGAATTTTTAGCAAAGCTGTAAACAATGCTACTGTCTAACACTGTCATAGTTTTACGTAACTACACACAGGAATATGGTATAAATCATAGTTCTGAAGCTGTAATAATGTACCTCTGGATCGAAGAAACAGTTTAGACTTATTATTCCAAAATCATATAGAGGTCTAAGTACACAAGTAGACTATTTCACCACTTACTTTCTGTATTTGACTCCTAATGGTGTGTCAAAACATAGCAAGCATGACAAGTACAAAGAGCTGAAGTGCTGGTGAAAAGCGGATGAGATTGGGGAAAGCTAGAAACACATAGGCTCAGCAAGACACTTGAAGGAGCCAGTAAAGAGTCAACAAACATTCAGACTTAGACTTTATAAACTTTAGTGACCGAGTTGAACAGGAAAAAAATTCCATACAGTGGAATAGAAAGCAAACTAAATAAAGAAAGTAAAACCCAGAAGATAAAGATATGATTAGGTGGTTACCATATTTTCTCTGTGGCAATAGCAACACAGGGAAGAAACGGTATGTTTTTGTCTGGGACTAAGCAGACACTAAGGGAATGCTTATCTAACCAATCTCTACCGCTCAAACACAAACTACCTACCTGGGTAGGGAAAAGACAGAAAGCAGTATTTAAAAATGACCAAGTACTGGTAATGATATAACCAGCAGTGGGGCCAACCATGAGCTCGGCAATTTCCTTTCGAGCACATGGCAGCTGACACAGAACACAGAAAGGAGATGAACCTAGACAGTGATGGGACAGGAGTCAAAGACACTGAGAGCTGTAAAAGGAAAAGAGAGACGTATGCCATGAGGCGAGAACACCACAGAGAAACAAGAGCACGTATAGTGACAGTCCCTACCAACCTTAACATAAGTACTGAATTACCTGCTCATCACAGTCAGATTCCAAGAAGGACATGTCTTTTCGTAAACAGTTGTCAAAGCCATGCTCATCACTTTCATTAAGACATTCACAACCAGCTTTGTTAATAAAAGGCATTAAATCCATCTGAAACAAAAGAAATCAAGAACTTAGGTACAACATTTGGCTTTAGCATAAAAAATAGAAAGATTCAGATCTATGATTCTTTCTAGATTAAGCGATTTTGAAGAAAATGTCTGCTCTAAAACAGTTACTAAAATTTTATAATGGTCATTTCACTTGAGTTTCTGACTGAAATTTATCACTAATTATAGAAACAAAATCTAGGCTTACCCTACATGGAAAGGTATTAGAAACCTAACTTATAGGCCTCGATAACTTATAGGCCTCAATATTCCCCAGGATATTTACTACAAAGAGCTTACGACTGTAAATATGTATTTTGTGTAGCCCAGAAGCCTCTCTCAAGGACCCAGGACACTTGTAACACAGCACTTAGGAAGTAGATGTAAGAAGCACAGAGCTGAGAATCCACCTTGTGTTACACAGTAAGTCTGAGGTCAACCTAGGTACACATGAGACCCCATCTCAAACAAAACCAAACCACACACAGGAAAAAACAAAACAAACAAAATAAAACACACACACCCACACCAAAAAAGCAACCAAACCAAAAGGAACTAATTACATCAACAAATATGATCATCAAATGATAAGACTTCTTTCTCCAGGCCTCCATGAGAGGACAAATCCTAACTGACAAGGACAAGCTAGCAACCATCAGCAGCCTAATCCCATTCACCCTAAGTAGTACTCTGTACTTTCACATATTGACGCTACTGAGCCCCTATGGCCCCTTCTCCTTTCATGACAACCAGATAAACAGGGTTTCTTTCCCTTATGGCATTTTCCTACATATTCCTCATTCTTAACTGTGTTTAAAATGTTTTATAGAGTATATGGCTTCCTGTGAGATACTTAAAGCCCAACCCAGGGATGATCCCAAGCTGGACAGAACTAATAAGACTCAGACCAACACAACCTTAGTCCAGATCCAAGTACTACTAGGACTAAAATCAAAGGTGAGGACTGTGAAATTACCACATTAGTAGAATCTTACTAGCTTGGCTGTAGATAACACCCCTCATGCAGGTCCTAAGGGCACAAGATCCTAAGTAACATTTTAGGGATTTGGAGGTTGCATTTCTTTAGGTCAAACCAGTTAAAAGCACTGACATTACAGGTGAGTCTGGGCAAGAGTATCCCAGGGAAGTCCTTTGTTTAATCACTTCTGAACATAAGCACTATGAAATCACAAAGTATAGCTACACTGCAGAAACCACCAGTTACTTCACCTTCTCTTTCCTCCAACCAGTTTCCCATGCTTTTGAACTACATTATCCCAAAAGTATCTTTGCGGCACAAATTAGAAACTTGTGTTCTAGTCCTCATGTTTGGCTGGCTTGTAAATACTTTATCTTTCACGAAATTTGTTTTAGTCATCAACATACCAGAATGACATGTACAACAATCTAGTTCAATAATTATCAACCCCAACTGTTATTTTAAATAAATACTAAGTGTACAGACTAACAGAAATTAAGTTAAGAGTCACCCATACAATATGCACACAAAAACAAGCTCTCCTGTCTATCTGACTAGTTTGTCAGCTTGAATTTAAAGGTTTACAGATGGGAGCACACTGATTTGATTTACTGTACCTAATACAAAATTGTTATGTAGTAGCTTCAACTTAAACAAGTTATAGATCATAAAATACTATTTCTGAATACCGCTTCCTTCCTGAATAACCTCAAACCATGCACATGAACTATTAGAACTATGTAGCTATAGTATTAGAACTATTTGTACTATGTAGCTTAGAAATATACTATGAGTTTTTCAGTCTTCAGTCTTCATCTCAACTAAAAAAAAAAAAAAGTACCTTACTGTTAAAATACATGTAATGCTAAAGTCACACTTGATTCTAAACCAAACAAAACTAGATTATAGGAAGTTAAGTAACAAGGAGATTCAGTACAGTAAAGCCATTTTACATAACTATAAAAATGAGATATTTTTCAATGTCATGTTCTCCATTCATGAAAGGGAGGCATGCATCAGAATATGGCTGCTTAATAGTTTAGAAATCAATTTTTAGTGACAAAGAAATTTAGCAGAACAAATTTAGGGGAAAGTAACTTATAATGAGACAAAACCCAACAGTCTAATTTGAAAAATCCTTATTTGAAAGTATTTTGAATTAGTAAGAAAACAGTAAATTTCAATTCAACCAAATAACACCAAGTTTAAAATATTGCTTTTACTCTTCTGATGACATACATAGCCCTTCGGAATGTCTGTGTCCTCATTGCTTCCAGGATCATTTTCTAGATGCTGCTTGATTTTCTCTTCTAGTCCCACAGCATCTGCTCCTTGATACTGATCGATTCTCACTTTGTTTCGAAAAAACAAAAATGTAGGTGTTGCTGATATGTTGTTGGTGGCAGCTGTTCCCTAGAATCAGTGAAGTAAACAGTGAAAAGAAATTTTTTAAAAATCTTATACCATTTGAATTTTTCATTCTACAACTTTAAGCAAACTAAAGTAGCACATGTCCTAACCAGAAAGGTAAAACACTGTTATTTCTAATTGTTCTTTAAGAAAGAGTCTAGGCTGCAGAGAAGGCTGCTCTTCCAGAGGACCAGAGTTCAATATCTATCACCCACATGGCAGTCAACAACCACCTACTTGATCCAGTTCCAAGAGATCCAATTCCCTCTTCTGGCCTCTGCAGGACCTAGGTACGCATGTGGTACTTAGTCAGGCATGCAAATAGAATACCCATGTACATTAAAAAACAAAAACAAGGGGGCTGGAGAGATAGCTCAGAGATTAAGAGCACTGATTGTTCTTTAGTGGTCTTGAGTTCAACTCCCAGCAACAACATGGTAGTTCAAAAACCAAGATTTGGTGCCCTTTTCTGACATGCAGGCAGACCACTGTATATAATAAATAAATAAATAAATCTTTAAAAACAACAAAAACAAATAAAAAATTTTAAAGGCACACCTATTGTGAGGGAGTGCCTATGGAGACACAGCTATATTACCCATAAGCCCACAATAGAAACAATTCTGGTTTTGTTTTTTAAAGCATTAATTAATGATCATACACTTTATCCAACAGAACAACTATAGTCTATAAACAGAAATTGTGCTTTATAGAAGGCAGCTTCCTTATAATTACACAGTAGGAATTTTTCAAAAAAAAAAAATAACCAAAGGTGGGCTTAGTAGTACACATCTTTAATCTCAGCACTTGGGAGGCAGAGGGCAAATCTCCTGAGTTTGAATCCTTCTGGTCTACGCAAAGAGTTCAGGCCAGCCAGGGCTAAATACGACTGTCTCAAAAGAAAACAAACAAACAAAAACAAGAAAGGTAATGATAAGTCAACACAAACCACTGCTGCTAAGAAAAGGTATCCATCTGAAAAAGAAGAGCCAGTCTATACCACCTTTCAAAAAAAGGGTGTGGGGCAATGTCTCTTGTCTTGAAAAAGGTTATCCTCATCCAATTTCTGCTCTTACAGAACTGATTTTAGGTCACCATAAAAATAATAGTTATCTTTTTAAATTCTGCTCTACTTTTACAATTTAATACTAAATGGAAATTAATAATAACCAGACCATGATTAAAGTTTTCATGACAAGGATTTAAAAGTCAGCAAAGCAAATCTGTCCTCTCACATATGCAAATTGTATGAAAAAGTACAGAATATCATTCAAAGAAAAAAAAAGCATAAAGGTAACCAAGGGATATGTTCTCTAAACATCACAAGCCACATATGAGAACAGCACTATCTTAAAAAAAAAGTGAGAGAAATGTGAGCTATACATGTATACATGTGACCTTAAATTTCCTTGTATGCATAATAAAAAAAACTAAAGTCACTAACGTATTTTAGTGAAGTCAATATGTTCATTTTCAACATATTCAACATAAAGATAAAGACATTTTTTCTTTCATAAACTAATATACCTAAAATAAAGATAGTGATACCATCTATTAACATTTAATGTAGGTAAGCAAAAGTGTGTAATGTCAGAATTACACATGTTTCTCCTATCATTAGAAAAGTTTAAGACAATTCAGACTGGGCAAAAATATTGTGGAACATACTAAAAAAAAGCACTTTACCTCTAACACATAGCAAACACTTACAAACAAGTAAGAACAAGAATGACATTCAGAAGAAAACTCTCGGAATAGGTAACTTGACAAATGAGGTACTTAAGATGAAAATTAGTTAATAGGGAAATCAAGGAAATTGAAAAACCCAAATTGAAACTATTTTTACTGACACAAGTAAAATAAAAAAGTGGTATTCAGAATGAGGAGGAACTAAACTTTCTTTCATATACTGTTCTTAACAATGCACAAAGTATAACCACTTTCCGGGGAGGGTGAGCATGTAACTTTAAAGATAAGATCATAAAGTGGTTGAAATTAAATCAAACTATTATAAAAAATTATCCACTAAAACTTCATGATCAGCAGAAGATATAGAATTGCCAGGTAACCGATTACTTTAACAACACTGTATTAATTTCACCACGTATTTAAAAAACTTGAAATAAAATACTTTCCTAACTGTAGTCAACTAGCACTCATACTAATCCTAACATTCTCCTGTCTAAGGAATAACTGCCATGTGAATAAGGACATAGTGGGGAATATGAATGTTGGGTTTTGATCTGTTTCATGAGGAACAGAGGGAAAATAGCTCTTTCACTTTACCTGGCACTGATGTACATCCACTTCCAGGAAAACTGCCTGAGGATACTTATTACTCATAGAACTGAATGCAGGAGCAATCCTTAAACACGGCCCACACCTGCGAGGAAGACAGAGCTATATCCAGTAAAATAATACAAAGACTGTACTAACTTATGCTATAAAAACATTTATCAAGTTAAAATAACGCAAACTGATATTCTTGGCTTTAGGCAATCTAATATAGTCATCTGGGTCATTTATAATACCGTATTAATTTCATATTGCTTTTCTAAGTACAGATACAATATTAGGTGTCAGGCTTAAGATTGTGAAATCTTTTTGTTTTGTTGAAATAATACAAAGGAAAATAAATAAAGGGACATGTTTATAAATTGAAAAAACAAAGTTAATATTGTCAAGAAATCAATCCTCCTTGATTATGATTAATATAAATCCCAAAATTTTTATATGAAACTAACAAATTTATATTCTAACATTTATGGGGAAACACCAAAGCCAACCTAAGCTGAAGTTTAAAGTTTTAAGAAAAATTACCAAATATTAAGACTTATCATAAAGCTTTATTAGTTATCAGCACACAATGCAATTGGTTGAACATGTTATTCAAAATGATCCTAACCCACCAAACTGGGTGTTATATCAGCATTCAAAAAGTGTGACTAGCAGAGCATTCTAAATTTCAAATGTTCACATTTGAGACACTGAACTGGTAAAATCTAGTTTAATTATCCCAAACCCCAACAAATTGAAAGCTGAAACACTGTGAGCCCATGCATTTCGGATAAGGGATAAACAGTCTGTTACCTAAGATACCATCTAAGAACAAGGCTCAGTGTGCTAGTGCATGCCATTAATCCTAGCACTGGGATGAAGAGGTAGGTGATCTCTGTCAGTTCAAGTCCAGACTGTACATGAAAATATCAGGCATTACTAACATGAGGTAATTTTAAGTAGCCTAATATACATATTATTTGAGACTACTTAAGAGGAAAATATTTGAAGTACTATGCAAAACAATTTTAAATTTCATAAAAATTATGAAATAAGCTGGGCAGTGGTGGCACACAACTTTAATCTCAGTAAGGAGGCTGACTGAGTTCCAGGCCAGCCTGGTCTACAGGAGTTCCATGACAACCAAGGCTACAGAGAAACCCTGCCCTCCAAAAACAAAATAAATAAAGTTTAAGAAGGTTATTCCAAAAAAAAAAAAAAACAGTAAAAGAAAAAAAGGCAAGTGGGGCAATGGGAAACATAGAAAACACCAGACTCAAATCTAACTAAACTGATAACATTAAATGTAAACAACTTAACAAATTAAAAACCAAATTATGACCAGGTGTGGTGGCCCACACTTTCCATTCCAGTACTGGGGAAGCAGAGGAAGGCTGATATCTGCAAACTGGAAACCAATCTGGTCTACAAAGCAAGTCCTAGGACATCAGGCAACATAATAGACATCCATCCCAAAACACAAAGAACTGAAGGGCAAAAGTTAAGTAAGTTATTAAAAATCCAACATCCTAGTTAGTAAAAGGGCCACAGGTGGGGCAATTTATAAAGCCAATCCAATCCCAGTTCTTTTTAAAAGTATTGAGTTTATAAATAAATAAAAATTTCCTTACAGCTGTAATACTAAATGATAGTCATAAACTTAATGTTTTCCCTTCCTTCTACAACAGCCAGTGCTCTTATTTCAGCAAAGCTTATATGAACATGTGTACAAACATGGATAAAATGTATGTAACTTGTAAAGCCCCATTTCAGAAGGTTTGTTTTTCCATAGGAGATAACTTCCAAACAGGCCATTTCTAAATGTATTGTAGTTAATAAAACACAGCTATGTCTATAACTAGTTCTGTAAATCACATAAAATATATTTATCTTAATAAACTTTATTAATAAAATAATATAATTTGGGTACTTGCTACATTTCACAATTCACAAAAACGTTAAATTCTTGTCATCTCATTTAACATTTTGCCACTACCAAGAACAGAGCTAGGGGAAAGCTCAGTAGCAGATCATATGCCTACCATGTGTGAGGCCCTGGATTCAATTCCCCAGCCAAAAAGTAAAAACTCCAAAGAATAATGCCCTAGATTCTAACTCTTTAACTACCAATTTCAAAGTCCACAACAGATCTCTAGTGTTCAGTTGCTGTTCTTTATAAAGCAATGGCCATATACTGCATACTACATGCTCTTGAAGAAACTATATACTCTTGAAAAGGAGCAAGACTACAAAATACAATTCTGTTTTCACACAGACTAAGTTAAGGCAAAACAGTGTTAGAATCCAAAGTAATGGGAAAGAGCCCAAGGATGCAAGACTCTGGAACTGTTAATGATGATGTATTTCTTATACTTAGTGTTGGTTATAAAGATGTGTTCACTTGAAAAATTTATCAAGGTACACATTTTAGGAATTAGTGTATTCTTGAATGTTAGTCAGCCCCCCTCCCCCTGCCAAAAACAAGCAGACAGACAAACATTTTTGATTGAAACCACTCCTAGGCTTCCGCATGCCCTGGCCTTCACCACTTCACTCACAGACATTTATCTGTCTAGCTCCTACAGGATCCTGGGCTATCTTATTTTGGAAAACTACTTTCAATCCTCAGCAATTTTGTAATATGCAATTAATACTTTGCACATGTTAGCAACATACTTTTGAACAAGCTAACAAAGTACTGGAACTCAACATCCTTCTACACACCACTAGCATCCGTCCTGGATAGTAACTATGATACCCAATAATTAGAAAATAAGGCCTGCTTTAAGAAAACAAAATACAGGGCACACTGTCTATAACAGGAAGATTTGACTTCCTGGAAAAAAAAGAGTGATACATTCACCATTTCAAGATAAAAATCATTCATATTATACTAATGGGGGAGAAACCATACATTCTTTTAGCTTAGTATACCACAAACCAAAACAATAACATGACTCTGTTGGTAACCATTCAATGTATCTGGCCATATTTAAGAAGCAACTATTTGGAGACAATTATTTTAAAAATGTTACCTGAATAATAGGTATTTTTTAAAACACCTTTAAAAAGCTTTACTTTGTGTAAGTGCTTTGACGGCCAGAAGAGGGCATCTTATCCCCTACAACTGGAGTTACAGGTGGTTGTGAACTACTAAGTGGGTGCTGGGAATTGAACCCGGGTCCTCTGGAAGAGCAGACCATGCTTTTAACTGAGCCATCATTCCAGTTCTCAGAATAGGCATTAACATATAGAATTAATTCTCTCAAAAGTATGAATAGGTCAATATTATTCTCATCTTGTTAGGAAAATGTAAGAGAGTAAACTGAATTATTGATAGGTATAAGATTATAATGCAGACAGAATTGTAGTTCATTTGTTCAAAGCAATCTGTATTTAAAAGGTGAATTAAAGCAGAGACTGAAAAAGATGCAATATACCAATGTCCACAGTAGTGTCTGTTATTCTTAATAGCAGAGAGAAAACATAGTCAAGCGTCCATCAACAGGCAATAAATGATATATACACACAATAGGATACATTTGTACCTATAAAAAGGAATGGAACACTGAAACATGCTATATGCTACAGATGAATTTCGAAAACATACTAAGTGAAATGACTAAGAAGAAAAAAAGGTAGCCTACATTAATTCAAAATGTGATTGCACTCACATAAGGTGCTTAAGTTAGGCAATTCCTAGAAACAGAAAGTACAATGGAGACTAACTGGGAAGTAGGTGGATATGGGGAAGGTGAGATCTAACAGAGGTTTGTTCTTCTGGAGAAGTGAGGATGAGGCACTACTACTTACCAGGTTCAGTTTCTACCTGGGATGATAAAACTATTTTATTTTAGGAAATAATGGTAATGATGACACAGTATCATGAATGTACGAAATACCACTAAGTTATACTCTTCGAAACTACTAAAATGACTCCTTATGTAGGTAAATGTAGTTCCAGCATTCAGAAGGCTAAGGGAGGAGGATCACAAGAGGCTAGCCTGGCCTTCAGAATTTTAAAATATGGCAAAAATCAATTTTATGTTATATATATTTTATTATAAAGAAAAATGGGGCATGGAGTGTAATTCAGTGGTAGAATGCCTACCTAGTTAGTATGTTCAAAGGCCATGTACATATACTGAAGAGCTGCTGAAGATTTCTAGAACAAAGGAATCTATACACTGCTTGAGGAGAATTACTTTAGACCAATGTTTGACAGGCAATTCACAATTTAGGTTAAAGTACATCGTTGAAGTAAAAAATTAGACACTAGAAAAAATTATGCCCTCAACCCAAAATGATGTTAACATTAGCTTTCCCTGCAGTTTCTGTTATTTGCAGGTCATCAAATTACACCAACAATGAGTTCAGAAAGGAATGAATGCCTTGACTATGTTAAAGATATTTTAAAAATAAAAAAGAATGTTAAGGATAAATACAATCTTACTAGATTCATAAATGCTACTTAAATATTCTTTTAAACTAAAAATGTTCTTTTAATGTAAGCACTTATTCGCCTTAAGTTTTTACAAAAATGTCATTTTCATTCCATTAACACATTTTAATAAGCAATCTAGCTCTTTACCAATTAGCCCCCACAAGTATGTTAAAAAATGATATCACACCAATGACAGAAAAGCCTCAGCAGTAACAATGTTTCTCCATCTTTCTCATTTCAGTCAATAACTGTTTATCATTCTGCCTCTGATATGGCAAGTGGGGAATAACTCATTGAATGACAAAAGTGTAAAAGCTCCAACTGACCAGAATTAGAAGGATGAAATAAATAAATAAATGGGATTCCTTGTTCTCTCTTCTGCTGTAGTCTAGTCAACAATTGTACAGGTATTCACCTAGTATAAAAGCTACACACATGACAAAATTGCTAAAACAAGACACATTCCTAGAATTCTGACATTGTTTGAGGCATACCTTAATACATGACATAGCCTAATCCTCCCTTCAATTTAGTTAATGTAAAGTATCAGGTCACATGGGTACTCTCTCCCTCTATTAAATTAATTTACTGCCCCCCTTCAGTTCTGTGGAGGACTGGCCCAAAACAAAATATTAATACCAAATCCTCTAACTTGTGCTCATCTCTACCTGCAGCTCAATCCCCTTAAGCTAGCTAGCTACATTTGTATACTCAACATTCATTGAACTCTGAACTACGAATTACAATTTTTTCCTCCAGAATTAAAAATAAAGCAAACAACACAACTACGTTGGCAAATAAACCTGTTAAATAAACAGTAGTACTGGGAGCAGATTGCTCCCAGTTGGTATGTGTGTAAATAATGTCAGGTGGTCAAATAAAGACTTCTAAACCTCCTAACGATGTACTGCTACATACAAGAGATCTGCAACACACTGAATTTTAGGTCTTAAGATCTACTTCCAATTCACATATAAGAACATTATTATACACCCAATAAGCGATCCACCAGCTTTTTGTCCTTTACACTGTGATTTTATCCAAAGACAATCAACATAATTTCAAATCCCTATCATCTTAAAACATTAAGTTAAAAAGGCAATTTGGTCATACACAGAGGTCTGCCCAAGCGGTGTCATGTACATACTGTTTTGTGTCTGTAATCTGCATAAACAGAGGAGCCTAAGACAAAACCAAGCATGGTACAACCATGCTACGCACATTAAAAAACATGTTGTCCCATTAACTTAATTCGAAATGCACCAACTATGCCTTAATACTACACGTTATTCGGACTAGCTGGGCAGCCTCATTGCCATCTTTCAAAGGCTTTGCAGAAATGCAGGTGAAAAGAAATCGAAGTGTTTGGACAACTAAGCTTTCAGAGATACTGAAACGCAAATGATAGTTGCCTCTTCCGAAAGACAGGAACCGGCGCAGGTAGTAGAGGTTGAGACTCCCACAAGCTGGAAGAAGGCGCGGGCCACCCCCAAGAGCAGAGTGCGTGCATCTGCGAATTTAAAGTCGGCGGGTAGGCATGTCCTGAGCGGCGGGACCCGACACATTGGCCTGTGTGTCCGCCTGGAAGCCCCCTATGCACATCTGCGACCGGCTCTAGAGAGAGCCGAGGCCTAACCCTGGCTGCGGCCTGGGCTGGAGTCACCACCGGACATTCCAGAGCATTAAGACAGCTGGGACCGGGAAAATGGGGGCGGGGGAGGCTGGGGGAAAGGGACCCACAGAGGGATGCCAACGGGGTCCAGACTTGGCCTTACCCTCTCATGGTGAACTTGACCACAGCCAGTCTGGAGCCCGCCCCACTCAGCTCCGGCTGGAAATCTGGATCGCTGCCGACCGGCTTCACTCCCACCATCCTCACCGAGGGCCCGGCAGGGCGGCCGCGACGCTTCCGGCTTCGAAACTTACGAAGAAAGCCCGAGAGAGGCTGCGGGAGGCCGGGGCCTGGGCAAGAGCGGCGACCACGACGTGTCCTCCCGGAGCTCTGAGTGCCGAGTCACGCCAGGGAGCAGACGAGCCGAGGGGGAGGAGACGCGGACTGGGAGGGGAGCGAGGGTGGCCAGGCGCACCGCACCCAGCAGCCACCGCGCGGAGGGAGCCTTGGCGCTTGTGCGTTTGACGTCATTTCCGCGCCTTCCGTTTGCCGGCCCACCTGAACCTTGAGCGGCTGGATTGGCGCACGCGCAGGAGACGAAAACAGGCTGTCAGAGTGGGCGGCGCCGCTGGCTGACCTGAAGTTTTGTTTTGTTATTATTATCATTTATTTATTTTTACCGAGGATTGGTTTGGGGGAGACTGGGCGGAGGGACTCCCCTTTTCTTTATGGACCCATGGCTATGCCTACGGTCATAAGGCATCCAAAACTTTTAACAATGATCCTGTCTTGTATTCTGGGCAAGTCATCACGCACAAAATAGATGTTAGAGACATTTCTTTACATATGGGTACTCATTCGGAAATGTATTTTGTATCCAAATTATGACAAAAACACCCCCATTTCTTCAGGAAGCTGGAATCTAGTGACATACAACAGTAAGAATTTAAATAGGAAAGTTAGAAGTAAGTTAATGAACTGTGACACAAGGTAAAGGGTAGGAGACTCAACTTCAGAATTTAGTCTTCTAGAGTCAGTGCGTTTGAAGAAAGAGACTATGAAGAGGAGAGGGAAAGTAGGGGGGGGATACCAGAGAGATTGGAAGAGAGGGAGTTGGGATTTATTTGATCAAAGCACATTTGCATGTATGAAATTCTCAAAAAAACCATACTTGACAGAGGAAATAAACATGCATGAAAAGACATCCAACGACTGGCTTTGAATTAAAAACTTTAATTTTGAAAGAGAAATAGTTAGAGAATGGAAGATAATAGGAATATTCCAGATGGAGGAACCAGCGTATGTAAATGAGTTTAAAGGACAGACAATAGGTAATATTTGTCTAATATATGAATCAGACATTGTATACATATAAGTTAAACATGTATCATATATATGCACATGCACTCACATGTTAGCTTATTTTGTTTTCATGTTTTATCAGTTAGTGTAATGACACTTTAATAGAATCTGGCAAAATTTTCCATGATCTCTGCAACTTGCCTTACGGGGATGGGCAAGCCATTAACCTTTCTGAACTTTGTTTTTCTTGTCTGAGCAGTGTGTTAATATCTACTTTATAAAACTGAAAGCTTAGGGGCTGGAGAGATGACTCAGAGGTTAAGAGCACTGGCTGCTCTTCCAGAGGTCCTGAGTTCAATTCCCAGTAACCACATGGTGGCTGATAACCATCTACAATTCAATCTGGTGTATATGTAATAAATAAATAAATCTTTAAAAAAACAAAACAAAAAAACTGAAAGCTTAAAGTTAGAGCATTGTTCAAACCAAATATACAATACCCAGTAAATATTGTTTGTAAAAGGTTAGTCAGCTGGAGCTGTATTAACAAAGTAACACAGAACAAGTAGCTTATACAACATAAAATTCTCATGGGTCTGGAAATTGGAAGTCAAGGAGAGTGAGAACTGGTGGAGATAAATGAGACACAAGGGGGTGACTGCAAGAGTTAGCTTCCAGGGGTACTTTTTTTTAATGTGACTTCCTTTGCATTATAGATTCACATAAGAACAATACATGCTGATCTGCTCCCTTTCTTACAAAGATACCAGTCTTATTAAATTGAGACAGGGTGGCTAATTAGGAAATAGGGGGGTTATGAGAAAGGGAAACACCTCCAGGTGTTTTTGACATCAGCAACTAGACCACAGATAAAATATGTACTTCCCTTTCTGAGAAACTTCACAAACCAGATTGTTAAAACTTTGTAATGATACCAACAACAAACACAAGGGCACATCATGGGCACACTCCCACTTAATAATAGCATTTTAGACATCAAAAGATCTTTAAATACAACCAAAGAGGTGAAAGACCTCTACAATCAAAATTACAAATCTATAAAAAACGAGATTGAAAAATGTATCCTGTGTTCCTGGGGCAGTGGAATTAAGGTGGAAATGGCCACCCTACAGTTTACAGGCTCAATGCAATCCCAATCAAAATATCCACAAAATTCTTCATAGACATCAGAAAAACAATTGTAAAATTCATGTAAAATCAGAAAACACCCCAGATAGCCAAAGAAAATTGAGCAAAAAGAAAAATACTAGAGGAGATTCCAGATGTCAAAACATATTGTGGAGTTATAGTCATAAAACAACATGATATTGGCACAAAAGTAAACATGTACACCAATGAAATAAAACAGAAGTCTCAAGCATGGGCACTCATAACTATATCCATTGAAGGCAAAAAGCATATACTGAAGAAATGACAGCATCTTTAACAAACATTGCCAGGAAAGGGGACTATTGACACTAAGAAGAATGAAAATAGACCCCACCAATAGCTTACTACCCTATAAAAAATTAGCCCCAAATGAGTCAAAGACTACAATTCAAAACTTGAAACTCTAAAACTTCTAGAAGAACATAAAGACAGTTCCCCATGAGATACGAGTGTAGGAAAGGACTTTCTGAACAGGACTTCCATTTGCTAAGGAATTAAGGCCAACAGTCAACAACTGGGGACTCATAACACTAAAAAGCTTCTGTACACCTAAAGAAACAACCAATCAAATGAAGAATAAATCCACAAATGTTTTCCAGTTCGTACATCAGTCAGATTGATATCCACATATACAAAGCTCAAAATACAAATTCAAGGAAGCCAGTGACCCAATTCTAAAATGGGTTAGAGAGATTTAAACATGGAGTTCTTAGTAGGAGACACAGAGAGCTCTCAAAAGAGAAATATAAATGGCTAAGAAATACCTCAAAAATGTACATCACCATTATCTGTCAGGAAAATGAAAATTAAAAAGATTTTGAGATTCCATCCCATCCCAGTCAGAATGGCAAAGAACAACATCACAACTGACAAAAAATGATGCTGAGTTTGTGAAGAGAGAGGAACCCTCATTCACTGTGGGTAGAAGTACAAATTTGTGAAGCCACTCTGGAAATCACTATGAAGAATGCTAAAAATCTAAAAATAAACCTACCATATGATCCAGCTATACCACTTCTTGGCATATGCTGAAAGGACTCAACAGCCTACTCCACATACCTGTTCAGCAATGGCCATAGCTGTCCTATTCGTAATAGCAGGAATTCAGGAAATGGAAACAAGCTAAATTTCCTTCAGTGACTAAATGGATAATGAAAACGTGGTACATATATACAACAGGAAACTATTGAGCTATAAAGAAAAGTGAAATTTTCATATAAATTAACGGAGCTACAAAAATTCTACGGAGATAACCCAGACTCAGAAAGAAAACCGCCAAATGTTCATGCTCATCTTCAGTTTCCAAATCTAAAAGGAGTAGTCACAGTAACAAGGAAAGTATAAAGGAATGAACTTGGGAGGGGAATCATAGGATACAGATAACATGATGTAGAAAGTGGAACAGTAAGGAGAGAGCTCCCCATGGAGAGGAGAATGGAGGCAGTACAGAAGAAGGCACAAATAACACCAGAGTGGTTTGACAAAGCATCATGGAATCATAGTACTTTATATTTTCCTAAAATTATACACAATACAAATAAGTGTATAGACACACCCGCCCCACCCCCCACAATCTTGAAGTTAAGCTACTTGGGCTGACAATGCTCCCAACAAGAACCATAGACTAACAAAAATCTCAGTACCAGACACCAGAAACCTTTGAAGGTTTATTCAGGGTAGTCCAAAGGAATATAGGTCATCACTGTAGTTCTTGATTGCCTTTCAGGGCTTGAGAGTAGACCCCTATTACTGAAGAAACCAAACATCAAGGACACATGATCAGGATGACTTTAGCTGGATCTAGCCTGTAAACCTTTTCCTGTGGTCTAGCTTTCATGACTTTAGAAAATTCTACAGAAAATATTAAGGGAGGGAAGCAATTAAACAATCCTACCCAGCTTCAGCAAGTATTAAATATAACAATTACCATCATGGCAATATAGGCACACGGGTGCAAGAATGGCACTTAAATGTTGGTGGAAACCAGCAAGCTATCTAACTGCATGTAAATCCCACTCAAAAGTAGGGAAATCATGCCTGGTACTAGAAATCCAGACAGTTTCCAAGGGCTAATGAGGTCATAGATTTTTAGAAAATAATTTACTATCAATACTTTGCTCGACTAGCATAATCCTTACCACAGTCTAAGTTTTATCCTTACCTCCACAGATAGGTGTGGCTAAAGCACTTCATCAAAGCTTTACGTTATAAAAAATGGAAACCATCACAGAAAAATTCAACTGAACACAATGCAGAGATCAATGGATCATGGGAAGCCTGCTCCAGTGGATATGCCTACATCACAGCTCCTGCATCTCTGGCTGAGGAAACATTGTGGAAGAGGGGGGAGAAAGAATCTAGGAGACAGTATCAGAAGTCTGCTGTGAAACAGTCTCCTACAAATGACTGCATAAACAAGACAGGAACAATAGCAAAATCAATGGTCCTGTAATGGAAAAGGAGGAAAAATTTGCAGGGTCCCAACTCCTAGGCAAAGAACTACAGGAAACTATTGATTTCTGGGAGAAGGAGACTTAGCCTCTTCCTAGAGATGAGCCCTCTTATTGATCATCTGATATTGAGTCATTAGCCTTGAAATCATATACACATAAAGAAAAAATGGATGCATCAGGTTGTAAATAAATATGATGTATTTGTGTGTTCACACACATGTATGAGTTTGTAATAAGTACAATCAAAGAGAATGAGGCTAGCAATTTGAGATTGGGGATATAAGAAGTTTGAGGAGGGCTAACTAAGAGGGATTTGTCTTGTTTCTAGCCAGCTTTTCTTAACCTTAGTTTAACCCATTTCCCTTTTGCCTCTGAACGTTTCCTGATCTCTTAGTTCTATAAATCCTACTCTTACTCCATAGATTGCTATGTAGCTGAATGGCTGGTTGGCCCCTGATGTCTTCCTCTCCTTTCTCTATTTATATTCTCTGCTTATCTGCCAGCCCTGCCTAATTAGGCTTCCTGTATCAAATAATGCTTATCTACATAATAGTAAGCTTTTGATTTTCCAAAAACATGTCATAATTTTTCTATCATTTTACATAAACCATTTGAATTCATATTTTCCAGAATTTTCAAGAAAATTTTAGAAGAATCCTGTAGACTCAAATCCCTATGTGAGGACAATTTGTGACTTTATTCTTAAATGGATGTGGATCACTATCTCCACTTCTCAGGGAAACATTTTCAGAGATATTTTGTATGCTGTGCACAATGCCCATTCCCGTTCCTTACTCATCTCAGATGGGGGTTGAGAGTCATTTTCCTGTGGGATATACACTTATCAGTATCCTTAACTTCAGTATTATTGGGTCCAGGTTACCTCACTCAATATGATCTTTTCCAGTTCCATTAATTTGCTTGAAAATTTTCATTTTTTAAAAATAGCTCAAAAGCATCCTACCTCATATATGTACCACATTTTTCATTATTCATTCATCAGTTTTAAGTTCATCAGCTGAACAGAATATTTAGGTTCAGTTTCCTTGCTATTGTGGACAGAGAAGTAAAGGACATGACTGGACAAGAAACTCTGGAGCATGTTGTCAAGACTTTGGGCACATACCAAAGAGTAGCATAGTTGGGTCTTATGGTAGATTTACCTTTTGCCTTTTGAGAATTAGCAACACTGATTTCCAAAGTGGCTGGAGTACTAGTTTGTTACTCACAACACAGGACCAGACAGAACAGGAACTGAGCTCCACGACTGGAGGAAGTCTGCCCTTGTGTAATACTTCTATGAGAAGAGAGAATGGATAAAAGTCCTCAGTGTGGGAGGGGAAGAACACTGGTCATACTTCCTCCACTTCAGTGTTGCTTCGGCTCTTCCCAGTTATCAGGATAACCTCTTTGATGGCTTACAAATTAAAACAAGCTCAATAAATAACCTAGGTTTGTCCATCTTCTTCCCAAATGTTGGTTAGAACTAATGGATGGAAGCCAAGGAGAAATTAGTGCCTGTGTGGCAATTGGCCAGGTTTGTTAAAAATACAGAAAACATATTCATTTTGTGTTTTGAGTATGTGTGTGTGTGCTTGTGGAGGTGCTTCCTTAGATGCTTGTCCTTCTGACCAGAAACAGTAACAATGTCCAGCCACTTTTTGGAGGGCAAAATGTAAACTTCCACCATCCTGGTCCAGGGAAGACCTGATTTCCTAGACTGACCATCTCATCCTCGTGTGCTATTCTGTCACCCTACAAGGGATTTGAAAACAGGAAGCGAATGTAGACCAGACTTGCAGTAACCAACATGGCGGAGGCGCACTTCTAGCGGGCTTCAGTCGCCATAGTAACCAGACCACGCCTGCCTCGGCTGGGCGGGCTGAGAAACCAAGAGCCGTCTCCACCCCGCCTCGTTTTTGCGACAGTTGCCGCGCATGTCACCACCGTTGAGGCCGGTGTCAGCTGATTTACGGCAATTGAGGCCGGTGTCAGCTGATTTACTGCAGCAGCAGCAGCAGCAGCAGCGGCGGCGGCGGCGGCACCTTGCAACCAGGCAGGGTGAGGGCGGCTGCCTGGGCGTGCGGTTCCCCGGGTTCGCCCACCCGGACTTACGGCCGCGTGGCCCTCCTCGCATATGCCCCCTCCTTTGCCTTCTTTGCGGGGGAGCCCACAGCATCTCCTACGACATGGTTATCGCCTGAGGTGAAGCATTGACAGGTAGGAGCTTTGGAGCCTTGTGGTGAAAGCCCAGCTCTAGAACTTGGAAGGCAGGGGTCAAAGACCAAGGGGCACGAGCCCTCCTGGCTGGGGGTCGTTCCGGCTGTCAAAGTGTTAAGGTTGACTGCTTTGCTTGGTGCTTCAGAAGCCTTTTTTTTTTTTTTTTTTTCCAGGAGCGCTGTTGGGGCCCATCAGGGTCTCTTTGGGGCATCTAGCCTGGTGACATTTGCTCCTTGGGAGAGTGACCCTAGTCTTGAGGTGGATTGCGTTGCTCCCAGGGACACTGTAAATTGGACCGGGTGATTAGTGATGATTTTGGGTGTTCATTGGTAATGTTTCGGGGCGGCGTTCATGCGTTGGGGCGCATATGTTCTGATCTCCCCTTTCCCGTTGGTACTACGCCTTCGTTGGTATTACCGGCTTAGGGGCAACAATGCCTGTTAGAGGTTCATCTCTGAGCTGCCACTTGCCTGCTCTCTTTTGGGACTTGCTCAGACAGAATGTCTGCTGTTTTTCTTACTGGTGGATCCTGGTATTCTGAAGCTATGCTCGCAGCCAGAGCTACCCTGCCTTTGATCCACCTTCAATGTATGCACCTTGAGCCCTACGCAGTATTCTCTGGTTCTTATGTTCTGAAACTCTTGCCCGTTCAGGTGCATCACAGGCCCCATGTGTGTTTTCATGAGGCTGACTTTAGTACTTAGTACCAGCTATGTGTTCCTATTTGTTCCTTTCCCTGTAATGTTTCTCCTGGGACAAAAAGGGTAAGCTCCTTCCTTCCCTCCCTCCCTCCTTCCTTCCTTTCTTCCATCCTAATTTTGTTTTTTGGTTTTTTTTTTTTTTTGTTTTTGGAGACAGGGTTTTTTCCTAGGTAGCGTTGGCTCCCCTAGGTCTAGGGCTGTAGACCAGGTTGGCCTTGAACTCACAGACAACCTCCTGCCGCTGCCTCCTGAGTGCTGGGGTTAAAGGAGTGCACCACCACACCCAGCTATGATTCTTTTAAAAATCTTTATTTCTCAGGACTTTCTTCACAGGGCTACAACCATTGAATGTTACATGGAAGAAATTGAGTTGTGGTGTTTTGTTGCATAAATTTTTTTTGTTTGTTTCAGCTTTTCACTTTATAAACCACCTTATGTCAGTATGGAGGTGGTTGGCATATCTCAAATGAAAATCATGAATTGAAATTGTCTTTATTATAAATAATGAAAAACTACTTTGAGTTTTACCCCAAAACAGTAGATCTCTGGTGCTTCAAGTTGAGAGAGCAAACCAGCAATACTACAAAGGAGTGCCTTATTGTCAAATGCCAATTAAAATTATGCAGGGAAGCTAATTTGTCAACACTTCTATCGGAAAATTCTCCAGAACTCTACCTTCCTAGAAGCACAGAAGATTTGGGTGACTGGATGAATCAAGGAGACTTAATCCTGCCTGTGGGAACTTAAAGTTTGGGGTGCAAAGCCCTGTAATACAGACATTCTTCTTGTCTCATGAATGCAGTTTTTCCATGTAAGAGTTCAGCATTAAGTACTTTAAAAGAAGTGAGGTAGGCAGGGTGTGGATGCTCACACCTTAAGTCCCAGCATTCCAGAGGGAGGGGCAGAGGCTGATGGGTCTGAGTTTGAGGCCAACCCAAGTTCCAGGACAGCCCCGGCTACATAGAGAGACCATGTCTTAAAAAAGGAGTGAGCTATTTCTTTGCCTATAAGGTGCCTACCTTGAGAAGTAGCATGTCCTTGAACTTCAGTGTTTGAACCTTTAAAGTTTGTTTTGAACCTCAGTAGAGATGCCCGAGTTCAGTGTTCTTCACTGGCGTGGTTCAATATTCTAGTTCATATTCTATCCCATTATTCCAACTCTTACTTCCATTTTCTTGCTTATTCACCCAGTGGCAGCCAATATAATGTATGTGAGGCGTTTACTTTTGTTGTGTTACTAAATGTGTATTGTTTTGAGTGCCTAAGTTTTTAATGCCCAGAGCTTATTTCATGCTATGTATTGTGTCTTTTTTTTATTTTCCTAAGTTAACTGTTGCTTCTACCCTCTGACGACTGCTTTAAAAAAGATTTAGATTGGGAGAGCTGGCATAAAAAGATTTAGTTTTACTGGGCGGGGATGGTGCACACCTCTTATCCTAGCACTATGGAGGCAGAGGCAGTTGCATCCTTGAGTTCAAGGCCAGCTTGGTCTACAAAGCCAGTATCAGGATAGCCAGAACTGTTATACTGAGAAACCCTGTCTTGAAACTGCCCCTCCCCTAGAAGATTTACTTTTATCTGTGTGACTATATGCCATGTGTGTGCAAGCCTGTTGAGCATGGGATGGGTATTGGATCTCCTGGAGCTGAACTTTCTGGAGGTTGTGAGATACCTGATGTAGGTGCTGAGAACTGAACTCAGGTTGTTGGAAGAGCAGCAAGTGCTCTTAAACTTTGAGCTATCTCTCTAGCCTCCCACCCTACGGTATTTTAGAATGATTGTTTACTTTGGTTGATAGATACCTGTTACAAATGAAGCTTCTATCTGCTTCATTTGTGACTATCCACAGCATCTTAACTTTTCTAACACTGTAGAGATGATTGTAACATGAATATCATTTAGATGTCTGAAGACACGTTTTCAGATTATATAGCATTCGTTTATTTATTGGAGCTCTGCCTGATTATTGTTGTAGGATAAACTGGAGAGATCTATACTCCTGCAAGGTAGTTCCTGGGGTTCCCATATCCTGTCCCTGAACTGGTGTCTAGTGGTACTCAGTACACCATCTCTTTTTCCAACTATTAAATAAAATATTAAATATCAATTTACAATGAATTTGAGCTCTAATTTTTTTCTTTGTGGTACTGGGGTTGAACCCAGGGTCTCACACATGCTAGGCAAGCCCTCTGCCACCAAACTGTATCCCCCGTAGTCTGAAATAGAGCATTTTCTGAAAATCATTTTATCTTCTCTTGGTTTTTCTTTTTGTAAAATTACCTATGCATTTGTTTGCCCAGTTTTATATTGTGGCTTCTGTCTTAGTCTGTTGCCAATAACACAGTATCACAGAGTTTTTCTTAATGTGACATAGGCTGTTTTTATGGAGAGTCCTGGAGGCTCAACTTGGTGATAACAGCCTTCTCAGTTGAGGCAGCACTGTATCATCTAGCCAGAGATAGGGAATGATATGAAATGCACAGGTGTGTGTGTGTGTGTGTGTGTGTGTGTGTGTGTGTGTTTGTTTGCGCCCTGTGTGTCTCGCGGCCTCCCTCTCTGCTTTTATAAAATTACCCATGTTTAATTAACAGGCTCCATTCTGAGGACATTAGCCAGTCATAATCATTTCCCAGGGGCCTCACCTCTAAACAGCAAGGATTAGTTTCTACTGCCTTACAATGGGAATTAAGTTCCTAGGGTTGGAGTTACAGGAGGCTGTTAGTGACCTGATGTGGGAAACTGTGCAAGGAGTGGGTTCGGGGGGGAATATTAGGGTTCATTTTTAGGATTTGTTAAGTTTCAAAAACGTAGTTGTACATAGAAGTTTGAGTTCAGAAGACAGCCCTAAATTAATGGGGGAAGTGTCATGTAGTAAGAATAATAAAAACCCAGAGACAGAAACTGGGGTTTAAGCTGAAATCAGAAAAGCAAAGCAGCCCGCCACTAACTCTAACTTCCACGTCAGACAGAGAGGGTGATCCTGTCTTCACGAATCCTTAGATTCCAATCTCAGACTGCACACTATCAAGGGTGGGGTGATTCTGTCCTCACCTTGACTGGAGACTGAATGCCACATGGGATCCTGAGCTCCTGTCTTATGTACCTCTCTAGTTCTGGGATTAAAGGCATGTACCACCATTGCCCGGCCTCTGTGGCTAACTAGTGTGGCTACTGAGATTAAAGGTATATACCACCACTGCCTGGCCTCTGTGGCTGTGGCTAGCTTTGCCTTCTCATCTTCAGGTCATCACAGGGTCATTGTATAGACAGCATTTTATCTTGAAGAGGATGACTGTCTCATTTGTTTTCACTGTGCTGCAAAGCCTGTCCTTCCCTCCCTGTGTAAGAGCAGCAGCAGCCAGGGAAACCCATGGTGAAATTAGGACAGCACTGCCCTTCTTCTGACATGGTATATTCCGTGCTCCCAGGGATTTCGCCTAGGTCCAGGGATGCATATAAATGTGTTATGTATTGTCTCACTATATTAGGTGAGACTTACATTGTTATTCTGAAATAGGGAATTCTTATAATCACCTTATTTTTTTTCTTTCTGGTAGTGTGCTTGACATAAGCCATGTCAGTTGGGAAGAGAAAACATCAGTTGACACAATTCCCCCACCAGATTGGCCAGTGGTACATTTTCTTGACTGATGATTGATGTGGGAGGGCTCAGTTCACTTTGGGCCATGCCACCTCTGGGCTGGTGGTCCTGGGTTCTGTAAGAAAGCAGGCTGAGCAAACCATGAGGAGCAAGCCCATAAGCAGCATCCTCCATGGCCTCTGCATCAGTTCCTGCCTCCAGGTTCCTGCCCTGACTTCTTTGATGATGGACATGGAAATGTAAGTGAAATTAATCCTTTCCTACAAAAGTTGTTCATGGTCATGGAGTTTTATCACAGCAATAGAAGCCCTAACCAAGATAGGGGCTCACCATGTATCTTGGCTGTCCAGGAACTTGCTATGTAGACTAGGTTGGCCTTGAACTCACAGAGATCTACCTGCTGAGTGCTGGAACTAAAGGCTGGTGCACCACTACACCCAGCTTCATAACCACTTAACATAGACAATCTCATGAATTCTAAACACTGGATTTTAGTCTCTAGTCTAAATGCATAGGCTAGGGCATTATAAAAAGATGCAATGCGCATTGTGTTTATCTGCATACAGTAGGAAGTTGAGGGGGGAATTCTTTAGTAGCACTTTTTAGAATAGTTTCTTTTCCATTGTTTTGCTACAAGCTTACAAGCTATTTCAAGTCTTTTATGCGGCACTAATTTAAGATGACCATGCTGAGATGTT